AGCCATCTGTGTATGTCTCTTGGATCTATAGGAAGTACATCACAGTACGAACTGTAGCGTACTATATTAATGTTTAGATAGACGTATACGTATTTCGCCTCCGTAATATATGACTCCGCTGGCTCTCAATCACATCGTATTGAGCAAATTGACAGTACTATTCAATTTATAAATTCTGAGTTGTAGATAAAAACAGTGGTGTGATAAAACAAGAAGGACAGGGGATTTGTAGAGACTGTAAAATTCTAACAGTTTAAATGACGAACTGGATGAGGATCGCGCAATATCATGGATTGATTGAAGTTAGACACTAGCACCGTTATATATCGGCTGACTGGTCGAGAGCTTAAGCATTCCCGGTTGTGATCAGATGTCGTCTGTTGAATTCCTGAATGAGCGATCATTAATGCGCACTTTCAAAATGAAACTAGAACAAAACGGCCATCCAGTCCTTTCAGTTTTTTAATGGTGATCTAGCTAAGTTCAATCCGTGATTTAAACTGTGAAAATAAATAGTGCTTCCAAAGTTGACCCATTACTTAAATTAAGATAGATTATCAAAAGACTACATAGTCATTATTAAAGCGTTTAAAATACTTAGTAAAGCAGTCGAATGGATGAATAATTTAGTTAACTAACTAATTGATTTATGTAAGAATAGGGAGAATGTAATGATATAATATGTTACATAACATTAAGTGATAAATGGAGATTATAGCAATTTATACTAAATTGATTGTAGTTGCAAATATATATCACTGAAATTCCAGACAGTTGCTTGGCCTGGTTGATCTATATTTAGACCCTAACGACGACATGTATCCTCAAAGTCACACACTATTATGAAAAAAATGTCCAAGGATAATTTATTCTCAATGGTTCACTAGTTAATGCCAGTCAACTAGTAGAAGAGCTAACTTTTTACGTAACAGATGACAACATTAATGGGATAGGGAAGTTTATCCACCATATTAGGTTTGATATATAGCGAGAGGTAAGAATGAATGTAAAATATGTGACTATGCTATTTTACGGAATATCATAAATGTATCGGCTTTATTCATTGACTATAAAGTGAATTTAATGAATGGAAATGTATAAATGATTGATAGACTCACTTTAAGGTTGTTGTTTTTTGTTTAATGCAATAATGTAATCTAAATGAATTAATTCATTGACAATATCTACACATACATTTTGCATAGGCATGTGACAAAACGGTTTATTTAAAGTGACATTTTAAACAAATTTACATTGATAATATACGCTCAAATATATTTAAATAATTTAGAGAAAAAAAATTAGTTAAAGCTTGAAATAAATGAAATCCAAAAAGTAAGTGAATTATTTGGTAATACTTTTAAAAGATAGTATTCACAATAAGCTAACATATAACTGGAGAAACATTGAGTACTTATAGCACAACACGGAATTGAACCAAATAAAATACTTTCAGGTAGTACATTATGTACTTAGTAAATTTCAAACGATGGAATTGTAATCTACTGACTTAAAGTTTTATAATTTTAACCAATCAAAGATAATATCGAATGATTATTTGTCTAAAACATTTGTGGTTATGTATAAGCTCAGGTTATCCATAATCAATAACATGTGTTATATTTATCACTTTCGGTAATGTTTTATAAAAGTGATTTAGTAAATAGTTGCTACACATAAGATTGTAATTTTCATTGATAATTTAAAAAAAAACAAATAAACATATCTAAGTAAATCACCTAGTTTTATTTGAATAATAAAATCAAAAGATGTTTACGGTGAGATATTAAATAAATCGGTCAAGATTTTATTACTTTATTAGCATTTATTCACATATACAGTGTATTCATTCTATTCATTTTATTATCTACTCATTTCTATAGTATAGATCAGTGTACTTGGCTTTAAACCAAATTGTTGGTTGTAGGGTTGGTGATAGCAACCAGTTGTTTAGACTGAAGTAGGTGCAACGAGGTTTAATTCCATCGCCTAATGGTTGTAAATTGAAAGACTTCACACAATTCATCGTTTATATTTTAAAGTGCTTGAATACATATACAAATATTTTTTTATTTTGCTTCGTTCACTAAAATAAATTAATAAAGAAATAACATAAAAAAATTACGTCACTCATTATTATTCTGATTTTGATGAATTATTTTTTTTTCACTTTTTTACTAATTAATTCTAAAGAAAGTCAAAATCAATTTACGGTATTAATTAAAAATTGACAAAGTTTACATATGGTGCATGCTACTTATATTGACAGATATAAGTAGTATGTAACACCAATCAGAATTAGAATGCATTTTCAGAAGAAGATTGAGATTGAATTGAAGAGAACAGAAATGTAAACAGAGAGTAATTTCAATAACAACAAGAATGAAGGAATGATAAAGTTTTAAGGAGACAATTGATGAATGATGTACAAATGATGTATTTAATGAATTTTTTGCAATTTATGAAGATATTCTGTAATATTGCATTAAACAATAAATTAGTTCTCCCCACCTAAGTCTTTGTTCACTGTATACTAATTATATACAGTTGAATTGTATAAATAATCACTAATCATGTTTTATTTGTTTTGTTTTGTTTATGATGATGAGATAAATTTTACAAATAATAACAATAACAAATGTTTATAATTGATGAACTGATTTATCCATTTCTTTTAAAGTACATTTTATGAAATTAAGGTTAAATGATGATATATTTTTCATTTGATTTTAATTTTATGAAAAACATAGGTACATTTCAACGGATTATGAATTTATGAAAATTAAGTGTATTGTTGTAATAAATAAATACCCTCCTATGTATTATTACTGTATGTAGGACGATAATGATACTATCTGACAAAACATCTAACATAATATGGGTAAAGCTGAGGTTCAAAATTACAACTCTGTCGTTAGAAGTCGAGTGTTTCAAATGTTAAAACAATAGCACTTCAAATTTTATTTTTCCAATGACAAATATAATTCAATGATCTTTTTGTGGTGTATGTTACTTATGTGGACAGACGTAAGTAGTATGCAACAACAATCGGAATTGAAAAACCCGACACCAGAAGGCTAAGAAGATTGAGTTGAAGAGAATAAACGGAAGAAAAAATTGTGGACTGGAAGAATCATACAGAATGGGAACGACAAATGATGGAAATTCGCAAATGAAGTGTTTAGTTTATGATTGTCATATTTTATGAAGAGATTCTCCATGTGTGTTCTTGGTGATAACATTATATCAGATTACCATATGGAGTAAATTGTTTATATCGTAAAGAGAGGCTAGACAAACAATAACTATTATTTTAACCGTTTATGAAATGATCTTGTAATGAGTCGGCGGGGATTCTTCTAAAAAGCTTTCAGAAGCTAGAAAAAGTCTGTAAATAATAGCATCCGATAGGCATCTAATGGAAACTCTTATAAAAACAAAGGGTTGTATTATCAGACATGATCGGATAATTTCTTAGTTCGCTATTAAGTCTATCGTGGTTCTAGAAGGTGACCGAGACAATCCATACACTTATAAACACTCTTGTTTTCTGAGCATAAATAAACCTTGAAATAAAACTTCTGCTATTACTTGATACCTCTCCATCTTCCGTACCTCAAGTGTTGGAGAATTCTAGGGGCAGTATTTGTTGTCCTGCTAGGCATCAGACAGATTGATAAGTGATCTTATGTTCAGCGAAGTGTTTTTCGATGGATTTTTAAATTTGCTTGATAACTATTTTAGTTGATATTTCCACAACTGATTCTTGAGAAAAAATTATCATATACCGTTTTCGGCTTATGATGGCAAATCATAGCTGGAAACATTAAACAAACTTATTCACTTTATATGTATTCATCTCGGTTGAATACACACTAATTATAAGTTTTTTAAAACATGAATTCAGTCGTTTAAAAGCAGAGATGGATGGTAGCTAGCAGTGAAATGGGGAACGTGTGTCTCATCCTATTTAAAACTCGTAAGCTGGATGTACCTTGATCCCAGAGTTGATGTTCGCTCCGGGACTTGAACGCAGTACCGTTCGTTTCAAAAGCCATTGGATAATCTACTTAACCTTTGAGTCCAGGTAACCACAATCAATACAAATGGATTTGTAGTTTAATTATAATATATAACAAAACTTGGTAAAGGACTAATTAATTGCTTGCCTATTTAAGAATGCACAATTTGTTTCGATATCTTTAACAGCAAAAGATACAACTAAGTAAAAATAAGTTATCTCAATAATTTTATTGAAACTTGCGAGATATCTGTGATTATAATGTCTGACTATTCACAATAGTTACATTTGGTTAGTTATGAAGAATACGTCTGAATAATGTTGGAGAAAAAAATCTAAGTACGAAAATGAATCCTGAAATCAAAATCGACTATTCAAAATGAGACGATATACACCGGAAACGAATCAGGATGTAATATCAATAATTTTGACATAAACAATGTAAACGGATCAGCTCAAGTTATCACCACTATACATCAGCACACTACGGTGACATTAACCAGATGAGTTAATAAGATATGGAAACATACGACAGTTCAGAATGAATAAATGATATATGTAAGATGAAAAGTATGATATATTATCAAAACTCAAGAAATATTTGATTATAAAATAATGAACATAGTTGCATCATCGTAATAAATCTGCCCCTGAATTTTCATAGACCATGATTTGTAGCCGTGAAATAATAAAGAACCAACTGCTTATCTTTGATTTTACCTAAAAAAATTTTTACTGATTCGACACAATTTTCTTACCTTTTTTAATACAAAGATTTATGTAACAAAGAAATAATTATGCATATTTCATAGGTTCTAATTATTTTAACCAATCAGAATTAAATTTATTTGGAAATTTATTCTCCATGGGGAAATAATACAACTTTTATCTTAGCAAAAATAAAATAGATTTAAGGACAGCAACAAAAATATATAAACAACATTGAAGATGGATATTAAATTAATTTAATATAACTTACTAAATGTCTACGTTTCATGCATAATTTCAGTTCACTATACAATCCTTCAGCTTCGAAACGTCTAATTTGAAAAGCTCTGGATATATTTGCTACCATTTGATCACGTAATTGTGTACTAAGATCTCTGAATTTCACAATGGAAAAAAATACGAAAAATAATGATTAAGATTTGCGTATATTATTAAATTTAAAGTGAGGTTTATTGAAAATACTAACATAAAAATAAGAAAATAATTGAAAACAAAGAAGCATCGAATAAAGCAACAGTTTACTACTTCATCTTTTAAATATTGAATTTTTGATATACAATTTGATAATTAAAAACCTTAATGAAGTATTCAAAAACAAAGAATATTTAAACGAACGATTGTTTTTAATAACTACATTATTAGGCTCTATACTTGTTAGATCGTAATTATTCTGTTATTTTACAATTGCTAGAATACAGCATAGTAATGAATGAGATAGTGGTATGTATCAAAATACGTTTGCATTTGTTATTGTATAAATACTTTCAATATGTCATTTGTAAATTCGATAATTTATAAAATATTAGAATGTTTCATTGTAAGATGTCAAATTATGATTAATATAATAATAATAATGATAATAATAATCAAATAAATCATGCGAATAAAACAGAAAAGTTGTAATAAGAGACAGATTTTATTAGGGCATTTATGATAAGATGTTCATGTGAATCGAGAAAGATGAATATGTAAATTAAGATTAGGTTAGAACAGATATAAACAAATAAATTCAGAGAAAAAGCAAGTCGTTATTAGGATGTCTAGGTTAGGTACTATGATGATCCGACCGTGAACCAAGATAAACACAAGAGCTGAGCATAGTCAACAGATACAAATGTTTATGATTTTTTAACATAACAACTTTCCGTTTAGAGATCCGGGAAACTAGTGATGAATTATATTTTTGAAAATCGTCTATGAATATGATTCTAGGAAATTCTGAAGCGAAATGGAAGCTAACAAATCTTGGAGTCTGTAAGTTTCAAATGGGCTTTGAAATAACAAAAACGAGAGTAATATAAGTGTGTAGCGAAAAACGCAAGTAATTTGATGGAAGTGAGACTGGTGAACTCTAAGTTCTGTATAATAATGTACTTGCAGCTTTATTTAGAGTATTAAAAGCAGGAAACTAAGTACATGCACTTTGATAGTATGTAGTAATGGTCCCACATAACACTTCATTATAATAGCTAGATGGTTTTTATTATATCAACGCAGTAAAAATACGTGAGTTAGCAACATTGAACGGAGTATCGTATAATAATAAATGTTATCTTCAGTGCAACATATTGTTCCTATTTATGAACGTAAGATCAGTTGCAATAGATATAGGTATAACAGTAATTAAACTTGAAATGAAAATACTTTTGGTTCGGAAGTGTTTTTCGAAGAGAATTTGTTAGCGGTGGATGAAATAATATTAGTCACAGATTTAAAACGCTATGTGAAACGAATCACAAGAAATTCACGTCTATCTACATGACAGAGTAATAATAAATAAAGTACTTGGTGCGTTATAATTTTTAACTAGTTATCTATTCGTCTGAAAATATCTGAGAAATGGATAATCTAAATTAGCTTGCTTAGTGTTTGAAGCAATTGGCTTCAAACAAATGGGTTGAAGGTTCGACATGTACTTCATTTTTTTCGCTTCAGACAACCAGGAAGCAACAAGAGATCTCATAAAGAAAAGAAATACAGCTCAAAACCTAGAATGTGAACCTGCATTTAGTAAATAAGATACATGTGAATAAAAATCCCTCCATGCATTTGACTTCGTTTCACTAAAGCGCATCAAAAACGTCTACTTTTATAAGTTACATCATTGATTTGTATTAGTTAAACAATCATTGAAACTATTAAGCACTAAACAATTGTTTCCTTCTAGTACTGAATTTCTCCTCACTAGTACACATTCACCACATCACCACAAGTCGAACTCATGACCTATACGACTTGCAGCAATCACTCAATCCTTAGACTACTGAGTTGACATTCAATGATTTACATGTCTAGTTTCAATCAATTCGTGATGTTGTACAACCATCTTCCACTGTCATTGATGGGTAACTGTCTCACAGTTGGCATGTTTCAACTATAGATGTCACCAATTCTCACTACAACTCTGAGAGGTATTTCTTTAAACTAGTTGCCAGTAGGTGCATAATTATGATTAGTGATATCACTGAGTCCTATACGAGGATAACACATCTGTCAATTGCTCTATGGTTCTCAATGGTTGTTTAACTAGGGATAGTCCGTAATGTAAGCAATGAAATTCAATAATCCTATAAGCCCTTATACGTTACTTTTCTCGGTTGTTAAAATCTGAGGTGATTATTTTGTATCACTATATCCATCTTATCAATTTTTTTAACTGTTATTCACATTTAACTTGGTGTGTTTAATAGAAATAAAAGAAAGTGTAGTTAAGATTACCCATCTTCGTTTGCATAACGATGCATAAATGCTAAAAGATCTGCCGCACGACCGCTACCATCACAAACAACAATTGGCACTGGATTTCGACCTGTTACTAACTCAAATACAGTACGAAATGTTTGTGTCCCACCTTCCAAAAGAACACCAACAATTGGAACACGAGACTTGGATCCACCTATTTTAAGAACAAACACGGTATATAGATAAACATGAGTAACTTTTATCGGAATTAAAAAAATACACAAGATAAACTGAGCAAGAAAAACAACTGTGTATAAGATTCAGTACATGATTATGAATGAGAAAATTATAAAATTAATTTATGAAAGAAAAGTTGCGTGTATAGATACAAATAAAATTGCTCTCATCAAAATCAAAGCGAAGATGAATACAAATATAACATCGAATAGATTTGTTTTAATTCAATGACAACATGTAAATGTAACTTATGCTGTGAAGTTAAATTCATAATTAAATAATAATTTTAGGCTGCCTGATGATTTTCAAAGGAAACTTCATCAAACAAACAAGTGCTCATATTCGCTTCGAACAGTGACTTGAATACTAATAATCGTAAATTACAGGATCATTACTAAAAATAAATTGCTACAGTTTTTAAATTCTGAAAAGAAGTTTGAATCCGTCTTAGCGTTTTATGAAACGCGAAATCTTCCTAAACAGTTCACACAGGACACTGGTGTAGAGTTCTAGGAAATACAATATTCCACATAGGTTCACTCAAATTCAAAGCCATGAAACAGTTTCTTAGTGGTTCATTTTCGAGCTAATTCACAGACATCAAAAATACTACTTCATCTACCTAGAGTCAATAACTAGCCAACCTTTTCTGTTTAAAACTGAATAAACATTATTTTTTGGGGAGGGGAGTGAAGGTAACAGAACAATCTGTAAATTAAATTATATAATGCAACAATTTCTACAAACAACTTACAGTAGTAATCATTATGTGCCCACAGGCGACTAGTTTAAAGAAGTACCTCTCAGAGTTGTAGTGAGAATTGGTGACATCTATAGTTGAAACATGCCAACTGTGAGACAGTTACCCATCAATGACAGTGGAAGATGGTTGTACAACATCACGAATTGATTGAAACTAGACATGTAAATCATTGAATGTCAACTCAGTAGTCTAAGGATTGAGTGATTGCTGCAAGTCGTATAGGTCATGAGTTCGACTTGTGGTGATGTGGTGAATGTGTACTAGTGAGGAGAAATTCAGTACTAGAAGGAAACAATTGTTTAGTGCTTAATAGTTTCAATGATTGTTTAACTAAGATAAATGAGTGATGTGTACTATAAACAACTAATCACGGATTTTAGGTAACTAAACAGGTGTCAAATTAACATATGTTATTAATTTTTTTAAACAAAATATCATTTAGTAGGAAATTTGGAGAAATATACATTAATTTTACAAAAAGCATGATATCAATCAATTTGAAGGATTTACATGTGACTGATATTTTAGAAGAATTATTATTGGTTAAATAATGAATTATATAGTAGGTTATATATTAGGTGTATGTGTGTGTGTGTTGCTTTATGTAATGTAAAAAACAAATTTATCGAAAGATAATTTGCCGGTAGACGTTTTTTTCCAACAGATTGAAGACTTTTTGTCAATTTTATACACACACTCAACTGTTTTCTTTTTCGTGATACAAACACATGATTGAATCTTGAGCAGTTTAAAGAATTGATGATTTTGTTTTTAATACACCTAATTGTAATTTGTTTAGTTTTACCGACAATAAAACGCAACATTACTCTTAAAATTTACAATTTGCCATCAAATCTTAGTTTGAATTTGATGAAGATAAACATTCAGGAAACTGAATCTATGTTAGCCATCGTGTTTAAGTTCAAGTTGTAATATAATAAAACAAATCAAGAAAAAAAAGAGGCAATCATCAAATAATCAGGATTATAATTTGTCTAATCAAAATGTTACATGAACTAAACCTGGGAAAATGGATAGTTTTGAAATACTAAGTGTTTTCAAAGAACGTAAAGTGAATTGAATGTATCCACATCATACCTTCATTGGTTAATTTGATTTTCTTGTTTAAAATGTAGTATAACTTGAGAATTACTGACTCGATAGTTTTAAATTTGACCGAATTTTGTCTAAAATATCTGTAATTAGAGTCCATCTCCCATCTTGATGGATTATGTATCAAACTCCAGTGGTACCAATTAATGCATTGTCAGGTTCCAGAAAAAAAGTTAATAAAACTGAAGATATCCAAAGATAGGATAAAGTTAATTGTCCACTAAAAAAGTTACTACTGCAAAAACGTTTAACGTTGTATTCTAAAAGATAGGAGGTGTTCAGAGTTTGCTTAAAACTGAAGGTAAGAAGTAAATGATTTGAGAAAATGAATAAATGAAGGACTATTAATTGCTTTATGAGTAAATTATTAATCTCAGCTACTTTAATTATTTCTATATCTTTATCAACCTACTGGTACTTTAATAACACTGAGTATTATCAAGTAATCATAGTTAGACGATGTAAATGCAAACGTGGGACAGCAAAAGTAACCAAACTGTATTGGCTGTGTAAAGGGAAAATTGTGAATGTAGGTTGCATCCATCGTGAATTAATATTAGTTGAAATACTATTGAAAATCTGGGAACATTAAACAGATTTTTTGTCTCAGTAACAAATAAGGCCGACAAATTAAAGTTCTTGAAGTTCTAATGATTTAAGACTGCTACAATTCAGAAATTCCGGTGAGGAAACGGTCATCATCATTGGCATTGGATGATTATCGTGTTCGATCACAAACCTATTGAAGTTAGAATTATACTATTGGACGCTGATCCAATGTCTTAAATTATTGTGTTCGCTGCTAGACCTGAAGGTCTTGACTTTGATTGAAAACGAGGTTCCTAGTAAACAGTATTGAGGAGTTTCATGCTGACATAAAGTAATTACCCAGTCAGTAGTACCCTAACTGAAATCAATTTGTAACAGATAGGACATACAAGTTACAAATGCTAATATATTTGTAACAAAAATAAGATTTAATTAAACAATATTTTGTGTTTCATGTTTTTCTTTATCCCAAGTTTTCGGCAAAAGAAAACGTGGAAAGCGAAATGTATTAATTTAGTGCACCAGAACTGAGAAATTTCAATATGAAGATATAAAATTTAGTGAAATAAAATGATATTTAGCGTTGGCTTTAAAAATAACAAACTACAGCGTGACTGCCAAAACAATAATAGTAATCGGTCTCGTTAATAAGTTTTGCTTTGAACATCCTAATAAATTTCAAGCGAATAAATCATTTTGAAGTGAGTATCTACAGAAGTATGATATTGTAATTTTTATATTGTTTTGACTTCAGAAATCCCTACTAAACATTTTACTTAAACTGAAATGTCCTTAAGTTACTTCCTCATGATTTGAAAAAACACTTTGGCTAAAGATAGTCGGTAAAGTACACAGTGTGCAAAGTTATGGTCATTAATACCAGATTTTTCATAAAACAGCTTAATAAATCCTTTGAAAATTACTTTCTTTAACAGTAAACTCTAACCATGTTTTGAATCAGTAATGGTATTGTAGGATTTGTATTACCGATGATTAGCAGTTAATTAACTGACGATCATTGGAACGTAAAAGCCTATTTCATAGTGAGATAGTGCTTAAAAGGCTAAGCTGAAAATTTAACACTTGGTAGAAATATGATTAACACTCAATAGAGTGACACTGTATTCAAATAATCAAAAAAATTGTCATAGACTGTACTATGACAATCTAGTTTCAGTGAAATTATTTGATGTAACATAAGAAATGATTATATATTGTTTAGTAACCAAGTAAGGTTTTGTATTTTATCTTTGAACTGCACTATCATTAGTAAGGGGAGGGGATGGTGATACTGCCCTCTTGACTCAGTCTAAGTGGGTGTATAGGGGCTCGAACTCACAACTTATGCGGTAGAGTCAGTAAAACAGTAATAGGTCATCATGACACAGAAAAAAGTGAATGAAAGGTGAGCTATCATAGGAAAAACTTATAAAGTTAGTCACATTTCTTTATTTTTCGATAAATAACTCAATCAGATAATTTTAAATTTATTAACTTGTAAATTAGGAACTTTATCCAATCTCTGAATGATTAACACTGTAAAATTAATGTAAATTGTAATTTATGAAATATCACTAATTAAAACATCAACAACAATGACATACAATTATATCAAGTGAAAAGAGGTTACAAGAAAGATAAACTTATTTATAAACTGTGAATAGGTAATGTGAACAAGAAAAGTTTTTTTGTGATAAAATAGTGCCTAATCTAAGCAAACTTTAGAATTGTGATAAAGTGCTGAAAGTGGAAAAATAGGATAAGTTTAAATCTACTACAGTTAAGATACTTGCCCTGTAGAAGATGTCGAAAACGATTTTTTATTATTCCTGTATATCCATGGTCAATAAAACGCGTTTTTATATCAGTTACTTCACCTGTTTCATCTACATTCAATGTACGTGCTCGTATCAGTCCTCCTGAAGCAAAATAATTTAATGGAGTAATATACACAAAAAAGAAAGACATAATTGTAAAGAATTCATTTCAAAGCGGAAGTATTAATTTTTAGGATTTTGGTTTGATAAAATTAATCAATGGGTATTAGATATTACCATATCATTAAACAAGATGTCCTGAAAGTTTCGCTTAGCTAGAAATGTGAAAATCAGAGCATTTTTAAATTGGGAGTTATCAGTTAACATAATGTTCAAAACAATATGTTTAACTTCATATAATGCAAGTAAACTTACCATAACGTCGCATATCAATTGGTTGTTGAGCGAGATACTGTTCTAAACGTCGACGAAGACCCAGCTCCCCACCAAATTTACCTGATGTTCCATTATCTGCTAATAAAAAGTAGTTATGATCAGGATTAAGTGGGGCTTCTTGACGGCCAGGTCTCCATCCTTGTGAATAATAGGAACAAGTATTCTGAACAAAGAGTCAGAGAGAAAAAGTTGATGAAAGCTTGCACAAAGACGAATCAATGTCAGCGTTAAACTATTGAGGTTTAATTGAAAACAGATAGAGAAGATATGAATCGAATGAAGTGACATCGTATTTTGTGCTAGTGTCAAGTGAGATTAATAACTGGCAGGAGCGTCTGGTTTAAGTTTTAACACACTTCAGGAAAGTAATTTCATAATAACAGACACTACATATTTCTACGAGATCCACACTACTGAAACGAAATAAGTTAGGTATGAAGAAATACTTTATGTTCTAAAAGTTTGGGCCACACCAGCTTAAAATGGTAGTTATTTTAAATTTTCGGGCAGAGCGCATAACTAGACTTATTACTTTGAAAGTTGTATCATCGGTGGCTTATTTTCAAGGATGCACTAAATCATATGTTATGAATACTTTAGTGTTCGCCAGTGTTGTATGGGAGATTGGAGTAGAAGTAATAATTTTACGTTCATCGATCTACTAAACTGCTGAATAATGAAACACTAAATATTGGAGGTATAGTGCAAATTCAGCTGAAGTTATTTGAGTAATTTCAATCCGTTATTTCCAATAGAATGATTGAGACAATTTCCCAAGATTAGAACACTGAAGATGCCAGAAAACATAGCAACAGATACTCAATGAATGATTACTAAGAAATGTACAGAGCGAGGAACAGTGTTTTAAAGTTTGGTGGTGACGTGGGTTTTGGGTTTCAAAATAAATGTATAACGGTAGGTTATGTACGATATGATTGACTGATGTCTGATATCCAGATCGGGCTGATATCATGAACATGATTCAGTGTCAAAAGGGTTTAAACGATTAGTTTTGTAGGTCACTTACCGTCCAATGGATTATGACCATAATTTTAAGTGCAATTCTTGCTCTTATCTTACATAACATAACTGCTTATGGAAAAATCAGAGCCCATTCCCTACATTATGAAGTAAACAGTGCTTTTGTGCGCACAAGTAATAAAAAGAATAAAGCAGTAATCTTTTGTTGTTTCACCAACAGTTTTAAATTTATTGTTGTAGAAAATTTGATGTTGCAAACCTACCACATTAATTAAAGTCACTTTTATGGATCACGTAAAAAGAATAAAAAAATGTGGATCTTAGAGTATGAGTGTATATTGAGTAGAATCTCCTGAATTCCGAAAATCGGAAAGTTTCCTACTGACTCAAAGCAGTACGTTCATAATCTTTTCAGCAACAAGTTGAATACATTTCAGTCAGAGCCTTTTAAATACAGAGATGCGGTTTAGGTATTTTTTCCAAACGTCAGTCTTGGTCACAAGGTTACTTCATGTACTAGCTAGGCTGATAACTGAGGACAAAACAAAAATAGTGAATATGCCGCCAATTGTCCACTAATCTAACAAAAATTGGACGCTACAAAAACGTCTAGAGAATATAACACGGAGGTCCTTAGCAAGCTAGACAAAAGAGAAGAGTTATTTTTAATGAAAAAAAAACAGATTATAATGGTATAACGAGAATGTTGAACAATCTTACTAAATTGCAAGGACCTAGTTACAATAAAGACATAACTGTAAAAACAGAAAAGCTACTGACTAATTCTCCTAAGGAATTGAAACACAATAGGATAATTACTCAAACCATTAATAGTTGGCTTAAAGCTGCTTGATCCAATGTACCTCAAGTCTATGATTCACCCGAAATCCACAAGTAATGGCATCTTCTTCACATGGTTTTATGGTATGTATAGATCTTCATGCCATAGAACCGCAAATTGCCAGATTCGAATTTCGTAACTTCCAGGCAAACTAGTCGTTAGTAAGAGGGTTCCAATGTTTCCAGTTTCATTTCAAAGTTCGATTATTTTAATACAGATGGGAAATATATGATATCTCTAGGCTTTGCTTCCTTCTTCATTAATGTACCATTAGGTGGAACAACTGACATTTTATGTTAATGACTGTCAGATAGAAAAGCTAATTTTGCGATTTCCGAGGTTACTCCTAAAGATTTACACTTAAAATATGCAACAGATGTCTACATCGTCTTTATTATAAACTAACTGATAGAATAGCAATCAATTTATCGTCAAGCACTACCTTAGTTGATTTTTTTCTCATTACATTAGAAATTGAAGTACTCAGGGAGGTTTGTGATAAACTTAAATTACGTCGATAACACATTCATTGTTGCTAATCAAAATATTTAAAAAAACTCCTAGAGCAGTTTAACAGATTATATCTGGCATCAGGATTCAATTGTGGGGGGAGCTTGGCAACAAAGTACATTCCTTGATGTTTTGTCAAACAGATAAGATAAGTCTGTTAATAGATGTGTTCAAAGTGAATTCTATCTTCATGTCAATAAAGACATTTCTTTCTCTTTATATAAATTTGTTACATTATAAACCTAATCAGATACCTTGGAAACAGCGAGAAATATATGCTCGAACGACTCTAAAAGCAAAAGACTAGAGTTTATACATAATATTTTGATAGAAATAGAGTACCCACGCATAGGGTTTTTCGAAAAAGAATATGCATACAATTGACAGGAAGATAGAAACATCTAACGAAAGTATTTGGGCTGTTTACGTATAATATGCTTATCTTTTTTTAATTGCCTTTTCAAATCGCATTCTGTCTAGTGAAAAAAAGGCAACACTGAAAATAGACATTGTTTCAAGCAAGCCTGAACTTGGAACCTACAGATTTACAGTTAGTAAGATAAACTTAAACCACCGATTTAGAATCTTGTAGTTTATATTTTCACCTCTCATGAAGTCATGATATGGTGTAATCAAATTTTAAAATCATCAGTATGTTATTCATCTCGGTCTTGATGCTGCTTGACTTCATAAGTGATGGCTTTCAACGAAAAGTTAGAAAAATCTGTCTTGGAGTTAATCACTCGAAAGTACGCAAATATTAAATAGGGTATTATTTAATGTTTAAGGGAAACGAATAAATACATACGTCTAAACCAACAAGTGTTTCACGATGTTGTACATAACCCCATGGTGCTATACCAAGTGCAACAATATTAGAACCACGAATATGCACTTCATCTTTTAATGCTTCACCAATATGTCGAGTTACACCTGCGATTGAAGGTAAAAATGAAAAAGGAAATATGATGATATTAACTCGATGAATTCACCAAAACAAAGCTATGTAAAGTCATTATTTAGTATCAGAATAATAATAACAAATTGGAAACTTATGACTCATAAATATGCAAATGGAAAGAACAGAAAAAAAAGAATGTTTGAAAGTGATTAAGTTTCCTGGATGTAGAAACAAAGAAAAAAAAAGTAGTCCTGCAACTACTAATATGAATCTACATACCGCTTGAAAGTAACTTCCAAATAAATTGTTTGAATAATCGAACTAGGAAATCAAATCAATAAGTCCTAACTTGCAGATATGAATTTTATTTAAAGACTACAATATAGAGCTAAATAGAGACTTATGTTATCAACATAAATATTTTAAAGATCTTAATTCATCTTCTAGAAGTATAGAATAACGATAGTTTCCGGTTTGAAATTTTCAATATACATTCAGTCAAATCAATCAATCAAACGTTAAAACTTCGTCAGATTGAAAAATTTTGTTTTATTCAACATTAACAAAGAAAATTCATATCCTTTAAAAACACAAAAGGTATTACTGCAACCACAATTGTAAGGAACTATTTTAAGGTTTCTCATTTCTTATTAACTTATTGAAAACTGGGTCCTCTTACTCGTAGAATTAATCCAGAGTGAACTGTTTTACAGTACACGTGTAGATAAGAGCATAAGAAACTATTTCTCACACAACGATATGTATTTTAGGTGGCGTTGTCTTAACTGAGTTGAATAGTTTTACCGAAAATCTTTTAGTATTATGATGTTAGGTGAATGAAGGTAGTCAGAAGAAAACACTGAATACATATTTCATTTCAGTTGCCGCTGGTCAACAAAGTGTATCTACAACAATAAGGGAACTGGTGCTCTCTGATGGATTTAGATGCAGCCCAATCAGTTTCAGATGTTACTTATAAGCGATACGAGCCTCGACTGATCTGTGTTACTACGCAAAAGTAATCGTTTCTTACTTTGAATAAAAATGAGCTTTTTAATATTGCTCCGCATGCAAAATAAATATATTTCGATGAACTTATTTGTGACCGATTGTATATGTTTTTGAATCCTCGCTGGAAGCTTTTCTTGGATAACCTCTGGATCTGCGGTTGATTGCAATTTTCCACGATGAATTATAGATAGAATCTGTTTTGAATTGTCTAATGATAACGGATTAGTTTAAGTATCAAGGTTCTGGGAATTCTATAACATTAATAGAGTTTCTTCTAACCATAATTCTGGCATTTTACCAGTTAAATTGGTATTATTATTTGTCTCCATGCACTGACAACATTTCATGTACATAAGCATAGATGTGACTTTTTTTAGTTGTTAACTATCATTAGCATTAAGATTGATAATTTTCGCTACATTATGGATTATATCAGAAAACAATATTTATATCTGTCCAACTCCTTGAAAAATGAAAACTGTATAAAATATCATTCATAACACTTATCAATATTTTTCATAAAATCTATAAGCTGTATATGAAATCAATTGTATTCTGTTGATTTGGTCCAATTAACATAAAAAATTTTGCTGTATTCCTTGCTAAACTAATTAAGCGGTACTGAAGAACTGAAAATGATTTATCTTTTATGGACTTAAATCGTCTGAAGGACGATTGAAAATCAAACTAGAATGTATAGATGTTTCATCTTACTTTATCGATTTGTCAGGAATGTGACTACATTCAAGACTTTTATGGTTAGCATAAAACCTTAAGACCATTACAAATGAATCAGTATTAAGTTGTGATATAGTCGAAACATTAGAAATTATTGTATTAATCATAGCAATTACAATATTAGTTATATAAATTAGACAAAAGAAAACATCACGAAAGTTAAGATGTGAAATAATGTAGTGAGAGATAGATAGATAGAGATAGTGAGCTTATCAACTTTTAGATAGTGTGATGTTATACGACTTTTTGACCACTATTATTATGTCATGAGTATTTGTCTTATATATGTTTGTTTAAAGTAATTAAGATTTGCTCGTGATAATTTCTGTACATATTTGTCATTAAAATGATTGATAGATTAATCTTTTGTTTTTACTGACAGTAACTGAGTTAATAGAATGAAATAGACGTAGGTAATTATTCAATTATGAAACAGATATCAAGTATATATTCTGTAGTCTGAAAAACACACGTGATAATCACTAATTTATTATGAAAATTTAATTTAGTTATAATTCAGTTGATTAAATAATTCCAGATATATAAGTTAAATTATTATATGTATTATGTAATTAGATATAAGTGATAATAGTATTGGTTGTGAAATGTACTTTTTTCTTCTCCGTAAGCAAAAAAAATATGAGTTTACATTTCAATACATACAAGACTGCAACTCAAAGAGTTATGAGAAAAATGGAACGTGATATACTAATAAGCAAAATATATAAGACTTATTTTATTGAAACATTTTGATAAAGAATTTAGAAAGACACAAAGAGAATAAATTATTTTAAACTTAACTGATTATTGTTTCATTTATTTTTTAAAACTACAAAGCACTATACACATGTCACATGTATATAAAAGGTCATTTTGGTGGTACATTTAGCAGAAGAATGTCAGCCTCCATAAAATATAGATCAAAGCTTCCAACCAAATGACTTCTGTTCACTTAGCTTACTATGATGTTGGGTAGGTTAGAGTAGCGTCCAAATTACAACTTGATCCACACAATTCAGTTAGCTAAACGGACTATTGTTGCTAATAAGTGATCAATTATTGCAGTTAGGCAGTAGAACAGTTTTCCAACACGTGAATAGACCAAGAAGAGAAAGATTTCTACCTCATTTTCAGCATATGTGAACTCCACCCATCACGGCTTTTAAGTAACCGGTTAAAGCTAGTCAATAATGAATACAGGATAATTAATAACATGGGACGTTGTTGAAGGCTATTGAGTGATCCCTAATTTTAAATTAATGTTTAGCTAAAGTTAGTGGATCACATGAATTCGCATAAATGTGAGCAATTTCCACCAACAGCCCATTATGTATTCATAAGTGAATTAGTTTGAAAGTAATCCTAGTGAGGCCGTGATCAGAGGTGTTCATTGTGTTAATAAGTCAGTGGTTTATCACTTGTGCAATAGTACGTGAGTATATTAGAAATAGCAAACAGTTAATGACACAAGATAAATAATATGGATATAAGTAACAACATGACCAACTATTTATTTTCTTTTAATTATAATTTACTGTCTGAAACATGTTGGCTCTTTGGGGGAATTTTAATTGTTAATTAGAATTGTGGTGAAAAAACAACTGCTTAGAATGCTAAAGCTTCATTTCTCTTATATTCATTGATTTTATCATATAGATGATTTATGTAATAGGGTGCATTATTTAATGTAAATTAAAAAACAACATTGAGGGACCAGCCTTGTGAATTTAGATGAAAAAATATACGCAATTTTATCTTTCAACCAAATAATTAATGACTGCCAGTTTTACAGCATAAGCAAATTAATTTTACGAAATCGAAGCAGTCTTAAATTCTTACAATAACAATAACTTGAGAAGATACAAACATGAGAAGATAGTATCTTAACAAGCGACTAAAAAACTTCACCTACCAATATCTAATCCATTTGTAACAATCCAAGCACCAGTTGTTTTAGCTGCTCTCAATATACCATGTTTTACAACTTGCTGTAATTTTGCTTGTAATGGAGCATTGGCTAATCCACCGACAATTGAAATGACTAAATTCGGCACACGTATTTTCCATTCATGAAGTAATAAATGCAGTACTAGCTCAGGACAGGTTTCATAATGTAATCTCACATACTGCATACACACATGTATGTAGATATTTATATGAAGGATACAAAATGAAAAACAAGAATTATTGTGGGAATCATACGTAGTTTGCTCAATCATATATATACTTAAAATTAATTAATATTACAGTTGTAATATTTATATATTCTTTAGTCATGATCAAATTCTATCAAGCATATTGTGATGTGATCGCTCGGTCTAGGTAATTGAACATTGCGATGTACTTTTGTTCCATATTAGATGGTTGAAAGTGCTCAACAAGTATCCATAACATTCAATACAAATTATAGTAAATTCAACTTGAAAATAGTAGATAAGTTTGTAAAATGTTGCAGTATAATGAAAATCGATATATACGAAGGATGTACATTTCCCTGTTAATATTGAAGAAGTCGATTTAACAAAGCTTAGTCAGATTTTGTTTCATACTGAAAGACATTTTAATTTAGAATAACTGACTAACACGATAGGGTTAGATTTTTGCAAAGTTTCACAGCTAATATGTTTACTGACAATTTGTAATTCTAAAATAATAGCAGACAGGAAATACAATTACCAAAGAGCCTTATTTTTTTGGAACTGATACAAAACACGGTTATCACAAGAAAGCATCAAACAATCCACAGATAACTGGTTATCAAGAGCCTTTTATGTGTGATGTAACTTTTTTATAAGGTAATTTGTTAAACATGTACACATTTCTGGATTAAACGGTGATCTTTAATTAGAACTTAAAATATTATACTCCGAATTCCGAGAAGTATACACCAAATAATAAGAATCAATTATTTACGAAAATTAGCACATAAGACCTTGGAGATGTGCAGCAATCAACTTAAGAGCGTATTCAGTAGTCTTAAAAGAAACAGTTACTTTATCGTTCTGGAAAGAAATCAATGGAACTGTTTATCACTGCCTGACAATCATCATTAAGGATTTTATTCGAGATAAGTTTGCATTACACAGTCGGGACACATATATGACACATTTAGTCCGATGATGACGCACATTTTAAGATATATAGTAGGTAATAAAATTAGGATTCCTTTTCTCTGTTTGTTTGACACATAAACATAGAAGTAAACAGAAAAGAGGTTATACTTAACAATATATATTATATATTATGCGGTCCAACTGAGGGGATGAACTGAACAGCCAACAACCGAATTCTCACTATCTCGTGAGATTTTAGACTTCAATCACACTAAAATCTGAGAAATAAATTATATATATATATATATATATATATATATATATATATATGAGTGCAGATATACTGGATTCGAATTCGATACGTAAACTCCACTCCTCACTCTTTGTCTTTCCCTTCGGTTAGCCAAGCTTCTGTATAGAAGTCTGTATCAGTATTAGCTTTCCGTCACCATGTGTTGCAATATGTATGTGATATAATGACAGCTATTCAAAGCAGTAAAATAAGCTATAAATTTATTTGAGAGAACTATAGGTGCCAGTTCGATGTGAAAACAGTTATCAGTAAGAAACCGTAGGTGCAAACTCTTGAATGGTTACAAACTAAGATGAAACAGATACTCAATGTCCCTTGGTTTTCAATAGTTCTACAGCTAGCTTTAGTTGGTATTTGGAACTCTGTTTACAAACTGTAGATTTGCAAAACTAAAAGATATATATATATACATATAATAGTTTTATTCAATATTATATTTTGGTACAATATGGAATTCTCGGCACAAGGTATTTCATAAAGTTTCTTTTACAAAAAGAAACAACAAAAGGAGAAAAAGATGAAAAAAGATCTGAGTCTGTACAAGTTTTCAATTAGAGAAATGTTTAAAACTACAGGTTGTTGACTAGGTTAACACTAATAACCTGTTCATTACAGAGTATATATGCCAGAAAAGGTATTTTAGATTACTTTATACCATTGCATGCGTGCATAGATTTTAAGCTATTGAAATCTCGTTCTATCAGAACATATACAATGAGAAAGATATGAGTGAAGGCGATAGCTAGTATCTGATAAGATAACACCTGCTAGGAGTTTGCTCGATTATAGATGTCTATCCACAACCATATTAATAATGACCTCAAAATATTCACCACACACACACATACACACTGCTAACTGCCTTCAGCACTCTCCATAATACAGCAAAGTATTTTCTCAAAAGACTGGGAAAGAATAATGGACAACAATAAAGAATAACAGGTAATATGCAAGAATTGACAAACTGTAAGAGTAAATGTCCAGTGATCCCAAAACCATGCAGCCTCTTTATGTAGTTAGTCGGACGGAAAACTTTCTTCGATAACAGCAATACATGAGAAAACCAAGAGAGATCAGAGGAAAAGGTAACACCAAGATAACTGACCTTTGACACTGTGTTTATCACAGAGTCTCTAACGGCACAAGCACTATGGGATCCAACATGGTATTAGGTTGCTGTTCATGTCTCAGGCTAGAGTTAATAGCTTGACGTCTAGACAGATTAGGTGGGAGACCATTAACAACAGACCACCATTCAGTTAGAGACAAAAACGCATTCATTTATATGGGGTGTAAAGAGGAGGAAATCGGCACACATACAGTGAGATTGTCCGCATATTCAACAGAGGTGTATTCTATGGAAGATGGCACATCATGCGAAAAGGAGAAAAGAAGAGATGAATAACAGTTCTTTGTGTTACACCTTCATGAGACAATGAAGACGTCAAGCGCATTCCTCCAAACACAGTGAACTGTTCTCTTCTAGAGAGGTAGAAACATAGACAGTACGTTATGAAGCTGTCAGTGTCAACGCTGATTTACTTGTTAAGTGAAAGTTTGTAAGCAAACTGTTACGTTTCAATGTGTTCTTTTAGTGCAGGTTGAAGTGGGAGTATCTATACTTTTTCGATTGTTTTGAGGAAAGGTGAAGTTATTGCTATGGGTGTAAATTTCACATTCTTATCACCAGAGACTTTCTTAGGTAACGGCATTATCTTTATCTTACTCCACATTTTCGGCATGAGATTAGTTGAGAGGGATCTGTTAAAGAAACTCGTGGGTGTGTAACACAGAACGTCAGCATATTTTTAAAAAAGGAGGTTTAGGATTTCATCAGATCCTAAAGATTGTGATGAATTAATTGACTGGAGACATTTTCGGACATCAGTCTCAGTGGAAATCGTAACACAAATAAACTTCAATCCTGTGGATATAGGGAGCATGACATCAGATGACTGACGTACAAAAGAATTATTTAAGTCGCAAACACTCAGCTGGTGATCGCTTCTAATCTGCCCGTAACCTGTAAGTTCTTTAAAGAGTTTCCACCTACGTGAGGAGATTTTACAAGATAGGAATTTCTGATTAAACATAGAGTTGAGACGTTTAATCGCTAAGTTTATTATACCAATTAGCTTACGAACTTCAATAGAGTTTTTCTCCTTGTACATTCTTTCTTTTACCCTCCGTAGCCGTTTTAGTTGTGTAGATGTAAGTCGATCAAAGCTTAGAAAAATAGTTTCAATGGAATAACAAATATCAAAACAGAATTTAAGATAACAAGTGATAACATCAATAGTGTTTACGAGTGAGTCATCTGTAAATAATTCCCAATTAGTCATACGAAACATGTTTCTCAGATTTTGAATATTTTCTTCTGAGTAATTCTTATATTTGATTTTCCTGATTTGATGTAAGAGTGTACTCTTCCCATGCTTTCCATTTACTTTAGGTAGAACACAAATTATACAGTGATCCATGCTAGATAATTGAGCATGTTTACTAGTCACATATGTACCCACATCATCAATGAAAACGAAGTCTAAATAGGAAAATCTACTACACATTGGTAACCTAGTGATCATATGGTTCGAAATTGGGTTCCATGGCACGAATACCTTTGATTTTTCAATCTAGTATCTAATCATCATATTACTTTCTTAAGTGTCTGTTTTATCCTTGTACGGCACACAATATAGATAACTGGAAGTTAAATATAATCAATTTATTGTTCAACCTAGAATATAATAACCTAACCAATATGCTGGGCCAATCAGGTATAGACCAATTAATAAATGAGAGATGCTCATGGGCGCACTCTACTTATCGAGATTTGAGTTCACTTCCCAAAGAAACAGAGATATTCTATTAGTTGAAAACCTGGCTTTATTTTCTGAGGGAAAAGATATATATTTATGAATGAGTTGTAAATATATTCTATATTTGAACAAATAATAATAAGCTTTCTACTCATTCTTGGTTTTCTCACTTAAACAGCTTGTTAGACTCAAGTATAGGAAGCTTTTTTGTCAGTAACAGACTCCAATGACCGCTAAACATAATATTAACCATCTCTCTTTGTAAACCATTCTGGCTAATTTTACATTATTTATCCAGCAAATATGTACAAAGTCTATTAAATTAGTATAAAGTCAGTCAGTAATAAAAATTGTGGGAACTAAAACAATTGTCCATCAGTTAAATTTCACATATTGCATATCAGTTCAACGCTTGAACATCGGCGATATAAGAAACTAAAACTTGAAGGTAGATGGCATTTGTGTAAAGTCACACGTAGTCAAAAAAACAAAAAAATACTGGAGACAGCTATTTGTGAGCATATATTCTCAGGATTACGGTATAGCCAGTTTTCTCCTGGACACATAAATTCCCTTGACTATCAAAGCAACAAAAAATACTGGTATATCAATAATTAACCGCTTAATTTATAAAAATATGGAAACATAGTGAATGATACCTAGTCCCTGATCTGTGCCATTCGACCAGCAATTAGAGGACTAGACAAACATGAAATTGGTCAATACCGATTGATTGATGAATTGTAAGTACCTTCGTCCAACAGAAGGCCAGTATTGGCCCGAAAAGTTGAGTGATACGGTTCAAAACTCGTATGATAAATCATTTCCCTAACGGTTACGGGTACACCTTTCTAATGAGTGGCAAATAGCTCAAAGCCAAGGTATCATGGCGACTACCTTCAACAAAGTAACAGTAAATACACACTCAAGCTACCTGATGAATTGAATTACCCTAACTTGAAATTGATTTTCAGTCTGCTCGAAATTTAAACAATTTATTTTAAAATTCTTTCCTATAAAATTAAGCTAAAATATATAATTGAGAATAGAAAACAGTTGGTCATCAGGTCAGGTATGTTTTAAATCAGTGTCTAGTACGGGAATTCAGGGATGCCTGTCTCATCAACTGAATCTTTCTAAATAATGCATATAAATATGAGGAAAATTGTAAAGCATTATATACCACAACAGATCAAATCCAATCCTAATTCAATCTTAATAACGTTCTTAAGCCAGCCGTTTCAAGAATTTCACGCACAAATTATAAGAATTTACCAAGTCTCATCATATGAGAAAAAATTAACAATTTATACCAGTGAAATAAATGATGTGAAACAAGATGAAATAATAAAATGTGTCGTTAGAAGTAAAAATAATGTTATTAAGTTAAATCACTCACAAACCACTCTAAATCTTTAAAAGTACGCTTTATTTTTATGCATATAAAATTAACATATTCGTTTACTGTAAGCGTTTCGTAGTTTTGAATTTGTATTTTTTTTACTGGCATCTTTATCTGCGTAACAGTGGTTTAGTGATTAATGCAATCAAGTTACAGAGATTGGGTAGAAGGTTCGAACCTCTCTCATTCACCTACGGTTTGGTCAATCATGTAGCATCACTAAATATGAATCATATTGTGTTGTTCGAAGCCGGGTTCACTGAACACGACAACATAGTATTAATCTATGGTGATTGAGTTTGTTACATAATCAGAATCGAAAACGTTTAGTCTTACTAGAAATATATAAGCCATAAATGATGAAAATCAATGATTTGTACGCTTTGCCAAGAAATAATCACTCACTGAGAAATTAAAAAAACAGTACAAGCTCGACATATTAAAGTCAGCTGAGTAACATCATTAAATATATATGACATTGAAAACACTTGAACACTTAACATAGAAAATATGTTTTTCGGTAAAAAAAAAGCCCGGATAGTTATACATATACACTAACCCGAGCTTTCGTTGGATGTGGACCGCCTTGAAATTCCACCGTGCCATAAGCATTTGTTGGCATTTCTTGAGTGTGGGTTTTAACATGCCAGCGTTCATTATTAGTTGGTTTTAAGTGATAATCACCATTGATAAAAATATCAGGTTGTAAATTTAAATTCTGCTGTGTTAAAGCCTCTATTTGTACATTGGATGGATGTTCACTGAATGTAAGACCGCAACTGCAACATGGACTGAATAAACAAAAAATAGAAACACTATTAGACTGGATGATTAAACAGTTTCTGTGTTCGGTAGCATTAGATATCGTGATAAAAGATATAGTTTTAATTAGTCTGTTATAAATTGTTATGGAAAAACATAATGGGTTTGTTAAATTAATAGATGAAACGCGCCGATTTATTGGCAATATGTAACGATAAAATATGTTTGAGTTATGGTTGCTCACGTGACTGAATAATTGGTATAAAACCCCGGATGATTTGAGATAGAAGATGAGACTACTGGCTAGAAGAATAGAATGCTTATATACAAAACGCTAGCAAATGAGATAAAATACTTAGATGTTATAGGTAGTTGATTTTGTTGTTTGCACTTTTTCCAGTGTATAAAAGTTCGCTAGGCTTCGCTGTCACATAAGGTATGTCTTTAGATAATACGTTTAACGGTTAATATCCATTTCGGTTTATCTATAATTCTGGTTTGGAGTCATTATGATGGGATAACTTAAGTGAAACGATATCAATTAAGCATTATAGATTAATTAGTTATCAAGTCAATTGATATACCGAAGTAAATTAATCGTTACTGTTTAGAATAATGGCTGGTCGGTTCAACGACTCAATTTTCAAAAACTAGGTGTAATGTTAGAATTGAGTTTCATTTGCTTCATTTTGGGTAACCGAGTTATATCATTAGGACCCAAACAAGTGTAAAGTGTAACTGAAGATAAAGAGTGTGGTGTGGGTTACTTATATAACGGTGGTTATGCATAGAATGTGTTTCAGTAGAAGGTCGATGAGGAAAGAACGGGAACGAAACGCAATTGGTATGAAAATGTATGAATAATGGAATCTGAGACAATGGATTGATGTTTAAAACAAGAACAGTCAAATTTGATATGATGGATTGATAATTTGCAAATTGCCGATTTACTATATGGTTCTTAGATTTTATTGAGATGCTCTGTAATTTTGTGCTCAAATACATTCGATTGTCCCCGCTGGTGTTCTGTTCACTACAAAAGGACGGAACTGCGCCTGGTTATAGTACTGGACTACAATTCAGTTAAGGCAGCCTGATAAGTAAGTACTAGTTATCGTACTGTTTTAAACCACACGTTTTGTATGAGTACTAGAAATACTACATAGCTACCCAAACCAGAGTAGATGGATTGAGAGTAGAAATCATGGCTAAATAGTTCAACGTTAAGTGTTGAAATTAATAACTACTGACCCAGATCCTTCACGTTATTGAGACCGAATATGTATTTATATGATATGTGAGATTAGAAGCAGAGATGTATCAGAAAATAGACGATGATCCTAAATATTTTTATCGACAGAACAAATCACGAATTGTACATATTAGATTATTTGATTTACATTCAATACTGAGTTGTTACACTTTTTTATTAGTTTGAAATGCATTTAGTATGACTTTCTCTTGACAACCATTGAAAGCTAAAGAGGATTGAATGACAGTCTCGTCTTAATACGAAATCCATCGACAATGGGCACTGATGACCCCGATCAAACTCAGATGTGAAGGTAAAAATGGATGCGGTCTAATGAAGGAGATAGAATTAAACACAATAACTAGATTGAAATAGAAAAATACCTACGGTTGTTATCTTTTTACCACTGGATAAATTTTTGAAAAGTGTAAAGAATGAATAGTATACTGAGACACTGACAAGACAACAACAACAAAGGATTTATGAATGCTATCATACATAAATTTAAAAAATTTATATGGCTGCAAATTATGGTCTTTTCAAGAATATTATCACACATACATGTGTACTTTTTGGAGAACAATTAAATCATATACAAAACTCCCAGCTTCTGATAATAAAATCGTTTATAGTTGACAAATAGTATCATGTAGAAAAAGTTGTACATGTCTGTGTTAGTTTACGATTGTCATTCAATAAGTATAGTCATTCTGCATACTTTTGATGCATATTAAACATACCATTTCACAGGAATTAATGTTTGATTGGTAAGAACTAAAAGAACATATCATTTTAATGCATTCAACTACGGAATAAAGTGTTAAGCTGGTATTTATTGATGGATTAATTTGATGGTAGAAAAGGTCATGAAAATCAATGAATCGAAGTGTCTGGAACATAAAGAGAGTGAATATGCCAGGTGTGACTTTTTATAAAATCACTGCGTGTAGTGAGATCAATAAATATGTCCTTTACCTTATGTTATCTTCTCTTCTTATAGTGGCATCTTGAAGCTAACTATTTCACTTAGAAGTGATTAGTTCTACTGAGCTTATTTCTCAACACACAGAATAAAGTGGAATGTTGGAAAGATTAAATCTGTCCAGATTATTACACCGTTTAACCCAAATAAAAATACGGTGTCAGAGTAAACTAAAAGAACAGCGTTAGGTGGGCTATGCATTCCGGTTAACTAAGTCAGTCAGTTATAAACAACGTAGAACTTGGGACATACTTCCGTCCATTCGGGCTATTAAATCATATTAGTATAGGGCGATGAAAATATTGAAACAAATGTCGTAGTATTAAAAGTATTGCTAATAGAAATGATCAAGGATAGATAATATTTTTAGAGAAGAAATGAATTCTCGGAACTAAAGATTAAAAAAAAATTTTCAAACTCAGAATCTAATGGAAAAAATAATGAATGTGTCTGCACTAATGCTAACAGTTCTAAACTATGTCACTCAATGTCTCCAATCATTGTTTACATAATCACATTGTCTCTAACCACGTAATGGGAACCAATCAACACGGATCAGTCTAATAGTCAGTGACTTCATGAACTGATGTCATGATTAAAAACAACAGATAGATTTTTATTTATTTATTTATTATCATCATAATTAGGTTACCAAAAGACAATTTAACATGATCGTTGAGTCATGGGCTCAAACTCTACTATATTTACATCGATTTGAATCACTAATTTTCACCGTCCATGTAAACGTGCACCTATTGAATGAATTAAGTTTAGAAATTCATAAAAAATTGAAAGTGAAGATTATTTCTTTTTAAGAAAAAGCCAAAAATAAGTGAGAAAACAACCGTGTAATGAGAATGTTTTCTCTTTTTCTTTTACGAAAAATCATCAGATGATGTCAGATGAATTAAAATTTAAGAAAAAAATAAAACTAAAATGATACGAGATAAAACAGGATTTTAATGTTTGATCAAATGAATAATCTCTAAGTGGTAAATTTTAATGTGTTACTACTTAAACTGTATATTCATTTATTTCTCATTAACATGAATGATAAATGATTTAATTTTATGAATTGAAATTAGATGAATGAAACTATTTTTATTTGAATTATAGATAACGTAAAATTGGTATTTCTTTTATGAAATCTTATTCTGTAGGTGATATGTAATTGTTATATCCTAGAGTGAGAATTAAATTACGAGTAACTTCTGAGACCTATTAATGGACTAATATTATCTGTACATTCTCATGGCATAACTGTTCAGTAACCAGATTATGTATATTTATATTCATCTTATTATAAGCTTCGTTTTGATCTATAATTTATTATTATACGACTTACTGTTCTTAAATTATACTCAATTAATTAATTATCGTCTCCCACGTTCACAGCCACTTTTTGGCTTTATTGTATATAAATGTTATTTCTTATTTTATGGTGCGTTGCGGTCTGTTTGCTTGATACATAAACCCAGTATTTCTAAAATAAATGATTGGCATACTGGAGGCTGTTATTGGTATTCTGGATCAGCTGGACGGGCTAGGGGAGCGAAGGACCAATAGGACGCTAGGCTGATCAGACTGGTCGAACGTCATTGGCTTAGTACAGTACAAGGACGAATAAGTCGTATTTTGATTGGCGAATAGATTACGTGATAACTAGCGGGCAATAAAGTCACAACAGTAATTGTAATAAAAGCGAATTTAGGATCGGGAATATTGTGAAAGGACTCAATAAATAATATGTAAACAATAATGGATATTGTTATGAAGGTTATTTGCTATGAAAGTTAAGGGCTTTGAAGAGTCAGGAGAAGAATAAAAAAGATATATATAAGATGTATGGAAAACGGCACAAAATTATTTTAAATTCAACCCCCGAAGTGTTAACTATGAGTCCGATTCTACTAATTTTGGCTTCAGTAGTCTGGTAGTACCACTAGCCTCTATACAAAAGCCATATTGCCCAAAGTTAAGCACATAAAGTTGTCCTTCGTATGTGATATACTGCTATAATTTGAGATACTTTAAATCATCTACCCACAGACTTGTTCGAAAGTTTAATCAGGGACACGATATCAATGAGGAAAAGTAAATGACACGTAAATGGAAAGGTAGGAACTCATTTACGATATAAAATTTAACGAAAAAACTACTTAACATTTTCCACCAAAGTTATTTAGTTTTTTATTTAACAGTCATGTAAAATACTCCAACTCAATTTTTCTTGGTTGACGGAGTTCTTTTTCGTGTTGTCAGCTGACTATCATGCTATTGACCTTAAACAAACTATCTTATGGACACAATAGTGAAGTGTATTAAAATATGTCTAACCGTGTGATTTTTTACAGTTTTCTATCTCATTCTGTGACAGCCTTAACTACTTGGTCAGAAAAGTGTGAATTACGCTCATGTGAATGACTCTAGTTATTACAAGGAGATCACTTACACATTTGATTTATGGTTGTTTTGTGAAGATGTCACAATATGAAACACATTCCATTCCATTTGCTTTTTCTTCAGAAATCGATTTAAGCGCTTGATGTCATTTACATAGTCTCTACTGTATGTTCGGAAGTTGTTCATGTTCTAATTTTTTTATGGCGGAAATGCCTTAACTATACTCATTTTCGTAGTGAACATTTATGTGGCATATTAAACTTACATAAGTTGAGAAATTAAAATCATCTGAAAACAACAGTATAGAAGATTGAGGTTATCCACAACAATTTAGTGTTACATGGAGTGTATCTAGCACTTCCGGTCGATTTGCAGATCATTTGCTGCGTGAGTGTTGTACTTTGGAGTATAATTTTCACTAAGGATTTCGTTTTAAGCGATTGGAATTATTCGCGACTATCTGCTAAGAACAAGTTTGTGTAGCGCACATCTCGACTTGCTGGATGAAAAACATAGCCGACATTAGGACTTAAAATAAAACCTCTCATGAAAATTTTACTTTAACATATGGCGCTCACAGGCTAGATGAGTGGATAAGCGGTCGAAAGGGATTGATAAAACGCAAATATGTTGAGGATGATGAATGAAGGAGATTCAACCAATGACACACACAATTTAATTACCAATGACTAGGCATTGTCAGCAGACTAAAATTAAGGATAACTGGTATTACATTAAAGTTGGGTACATTATTTATGAGATAGTACGATTAATTATCTAATTTGCACAATAGTACAGTTCACGTTGAGAATTTCCATAACTAAATAAATATTCAAACTTTCCACTACATTTTCATGGGTTCTCAGTTGACAACTGACTGGATGACTTCACAAATTGTGATATCGGGTTAAAACGTTTTCATGAACGATTAGTGTGGCTGGTTTGTATCAGAACATATTTTTTATATTTGAATGTAGCTCAGCATTCCTGATTCGATCGATATAAAATTAACAGTGATTATTACTGCGATGATGAAACAATTAACTCGAAATTACTGACGTAGTCAACTGGTCATTTGCTTATAGTAATTAGTTCTAAAATTCTAAATGAGTAAAATTTAAAAGACAGAATCACCTGCTAAATGGTTACATAATTGAAGTTGATATTTGTTTGTAACATACTCAATTAACAAGTCAAATAATCAAGTATGAAAAGGAATAATTAAGTTAATATTCTTGTATATCATCTCAATCTATATATAATGATCATTTTGAAGAACATATTACTATTTCATTTATTGAATATAATATGTTTTTGAAGTGTGATTTACTTGGAAAGACTGGATAGATGTGATGCATTTATATAATAAACTAAGTGAGTACATTAGATTGTTTTAAAAGCATAAGTTGTTTAAATAGAGAAAACATATATTTATGTTGTGGTTGTCAATTCGCAGATAATTATGAACAGTAATTATTGAGTGTGTTTTTGAAACAGTGAAAACTATGTTGTCAAGTTATTCCAGTAGTTTCTCATCAGTGTTTTTTTCTTTTAATGTTGTGTTTAGTTAAGGAGAAAATAATTGTTACATTTTTTTTATTTAACAATGAATCAAATGTTTTACTGATCTCTAAGTAACTGTAAGGATATGTTCTAAACTCCCGACATAAGATCAGTTATGTGAAAAATTTCAGCTAATGAAACAAACCTAATTTGTTTCATAGGCTAAACAAAAAAGGCTTTCTTTGTCAACGTTGATTATTGAAAATACTTAGTCGGTTTGTCAGTCAAGACCGGGGTAGAATCTAGTGCACAGTTGATCTTTAAACAAGACTGCCACTCGTCTCAAAGGCAAAAAACATTTATAAGAAAAAAACCTAGATTCAGAATTGTATTACTAGTAGAATAAAACTATATATAGGAAATGTAGTTCAAAAGGAACAAATCGCATCCATAAGATGTTAAGTATGGAGTAGTACTTAAAACTAAAATTTACAAGAGGATAAAAAATAAAGGTCATAGGCTCCTTAGCCATAAATCTTATCAATATTAATCAAACTCATCACTTAAATATTACCCTGAACTTGCAGATTTCAACTTCAAAATTTGTACCAGAAACACGGCTTAAACCAACAATTAATGACTTCATGAACTGGAGCTATGCCATTGTTTCGCCGGCTCTTGCTTGCTTCCAGTTTACCTATATGCTTATAATACAAGTCAATGTACGGAATGACTAGACACTTCCTAAATATTAAAATGGGATCCTAACAAATAGTAATAAATTACTGAGGTAACTAACTCGTAAAAGATGTTTTATACACAAGACTGTTGGAAACAATTTTTTATTTATGGTATTTACAAAACAGATGGGTTAGAAAATAGGCAAACGGATTTTTCGGCGTGTTGTTTAGGAAATGTCAAACTAGTATGGAGGAAGTTACAATGTATCTGTATTGATTACAGCAGTGCGATTGCCAATACATGACCAAGATTATACACAGAACCTTACTCAAGCCCTTCAGGTTTTGTTTATATCATGATGATTTTAGATCACTGAGTTTAATCAGTGGGATCCCGACCGGGTGGTAAACAAAAGTTTCAGAACCTGGAACAAAACAACCGTACATAGCTCCTTGATTTTCAGCGGCTTTCTGGATGACGTTGAATTTCGATGAGAATCACATTATAAAAATAACCTTATGCTACAAAAAGGTGGAATCCTTTTGAGTTATTATGATAGTTTAACAGAACGTACGGTGATTCTTATTTTTTAATCAATAAAGATATTTACGCCATTCAACTTAAAAAAAATTATAAACAATAAAAATTGCGTGTAATATTCATTGCCTTAGTAATATGAAGACTATTTGTTATATTCGCTTATCGCAGCAACGATGTAGACTTATTTTAAAAGTGTTACGTCCCTCTGAATTAGATGATGTAATTGTAAAGTTTACTGTATCATTTTGGATAAGATTGTCAGAGCCTATTTTGTATGCGTGGAGTAGAATGCAACACCACAACAAGTATCTGTATGAACTATGTGTTTCTTCATCATCATTTCATATTGATTCACTTTGTTTAATTCCGGATGTATAAAGCAAGCAAATACTTAGTTTCGACACAGGAGTTCCATTTAACCACATTTTCTTCAGATTAGACTCCATAGTCATTTATTTCCAAGGCTTCTTAAAGGACTACCAAGACAGACTGAGTTCAAAATTGGCTGGTTAGAAGCAAACAACAGGAACCATAAATAGCTGATAAGAAGTGTATCTGATGGTGATTTTGTGTAATGAGGTTTCGAAAAATATAAGTCTCAAATATGAGTCTCAAATAACATAAAACCTAGGTTCAAGGCTTACTTTGTCAATTAACTTCTAAATACTTAACAGCAAGGATAATGCACTTGGTCGAAAGAATTTTATCATTACTAAAGATTGAACAAAATAACATTGGTTACTATTCATTAACTGCTTAAAGTTGACTGACTAGGCATAACTAGGCAATAAATTCCTTCAAGAAATCAAAATAAACTAGATATAAATTCTAAATAGTTATTGAAATGAAAATTTTAATTTATTAATTACTCACTTGGATTTTGAGTGACGAGCAAAAACAAATTTAGCACATTCCAAGCATACAATATTTTGTTCAATCCATGGTATCTAATTCAATAAAGCAAAATTAGTAAAATTTGTATTTTATTAAAATTATTTTTTCATTTAAGTATTATATGTTATAAGTGAAGTTGAATAAATTTGCATTTTACAAAAATAAAAAAATATCACGTTATAATCAACTTTATCTATTGCAAAAACAAATAATTAACATTGAAGAGTATTGAATAAGAGAAAGTGAAAATCTAGAAATTATGTAACATAATGATATTATTTATGAACGCATAAAGAGGGTTTCAACTTTCGTATAGTTAAGGCTTTAATAAACCTTAGTATACGTCCTTATCGAAAAGACAAGGTCTATGTTTCCCCCAAAGCCCAAACAGTACGTAAGCGATTGTGTTATAATAATATTAAAAGGTTATTAAAAATAAATAAACAAAAATAAATTAAGATTCGAGTTTTTTCTAGATTATAAAAAAAGTGTTTAGTCCCTATTATTTGATGTTTATTATTATTTACAGTTTATCAAGGAGATGAAATGTTTATTAATTTGTCTTCCTCTTGATTTTAAATTCATAAATTTCACTATGCAATAGTCTTTTGATATTACTTTCCAAACCATATTTTTAATGTTTAATCTTTCCTATGATCGTTGCTACGATATTATTTAAACAGGTTTATTAGTAACTTTGTTAATTTCATCTCTTCGTGCTGGTATGGTACAGTAACGTTTGCTAAATCACATTTATGCCAGACTCTATAGTGATTATGGATAATTGATGAATGGTGAGTGGGAGTCTTTTTTTTATTGGTTTACGGTCATACCCATCACCTACTAATTCAAAATTAAAATGTTATTTAGTATAAGGGTATATTGAAATAAAATTAGGTATAACCATACTGCGATATAAGCGATAGCCAGGGGTGTAAGCTTCGTAGTTGAGGTCCACCGCATTATCATAATTTATGGTTCGAGAAAGTCAGTAACATGGTTCAAGGTTAGTGACTGGTGAAGATCTATTAACCTTCTATATTTCTCTAAATCTTAAATTTAGATATTATTTTATGTTTCTCGTCGCCTCTTAAATTTATTCATTTCGAACTATATTTCCTGAGCACAGTTTTCCACTACAAGATATACTATTCCAACTTCTATACCTATCATTTCTTTGATTTCTTATCACTGTACTAACATGAAATCTGGCTAATTTTCTTTGTCAATTGTCACCGACTGAGTGACTTCATTTGAATAAAAACTAACTAGAAAAATGCTTTCATCACAAAATTGGCATAACTATGATAGTAAAGCAGATTTAATGAATGAAATAATCAACAGTTCAAAAATCCGCCATATTGATCTTTTGACTTCATTAATTTAGAATAGATGTTCTCAATCTATCACCTTATATATATATATATATATATATATATATATATATATATACAAAACGAAAATACTTTTGGAAAAAGTAATGAATGTTTAAGGTAGAAAATATTTATCATGCATATTATGTAGATGGATCAATTGTAAGTTGCATTTTTAGATAAGATAAACAGAATTGGTTTCACAGTAAGTTGGATGATGTATGATAATTTTCATACCATCAATATTATATCATCCACAATGATAATAATAATAATAATAATAATAATAATAATACCTATCTAAGTCACATAACAAATGAGATATGTTAGTTGCAAAGCTGAAGTTTAGTTAAATTACTCTACTTAGACCATGGTTATCATCAATTTTCAAATGTTAGCCAAAAGTTATGTATGTATGTACGTATATGGATTTCATCATAATAGTTTGTATGCTGTATCATTTTCGTGTAAAAACTAAGGAAAACTTTGGCTTCAAAACCGAAGTACAGAAGTATGAAGTCATTTTAGAACTGATCACCAAATGTACGATCAAGGTGGTCAAGGTCAGTTTGTGACAAAAGTTAATTAAATACATCTTCACGAGTCACTTAACGTGCCAGCAATATAGTCTAACAAATCATCATTAATCAATTACTAATCATCATATTATTTGCTAATATCCAGAGAAAAATACAGATAAAATGCGTGGAATTGAATTTCATAGTCGGATTAGAATGATTGATTCGGGATTTCAACATAATACGTCCAGATCTATGCAACATATACAGTCCAAATATAAGCTATTTTCTTAATGTATACTCAGGTACTCGGTAAACTTGATCAACATTTTGTGTTACGACTTGTAAGTGTGTATAAAAGGAAATAGTAAAGCAGATTCGTGAAACGAAATATCAGATTACAATCATATTGTTTTTTATATCTTATTGAGTTAACACCATCAAAACACTTCATAATGATGGTCATAATAATTATTAGATCTAAAGAAAACACCTTCATAGTTGGTAAATTCGAGTAAAAATTATTCCCCCAGTATGATGCTAATCAGATTCTAGCTAACATTTTATCGCATTACGCTTTATATATCTGATAATGCATGTACATAAAGTGAATCAGTATCTTGTCATCAAAAGAAAGGGTGAATGAAGCTTAAAAAGTTACAGTCGTCCTGTACTCCACCGTACAACTAACATTACAATATTAACCAAATTTATTGTTCATTAGCGATGGGTTGATTTGAAAACCTATTTATACTGAAGCTCAATTCAAGATGATGGCATATAAGTTACTGAATATAATCATTACCGCTTATCACAACCAATGTAGACTGTTTAGCTTCTAATACCTTACCAGTATTTCACAGACAGCTATATGAATATTAATACCATCTAAAATGATTTTCCTTTTGAATTGGTATTAGCTGAGGTCAGTTCGTGATGAAAACTTCCTTTACAATATTAACTTTATTTAATTTCAGCACATGAAAATAAATAATCGGCAAACATGTATGCAGTAATCGACGGAATGAATAACAATTGTAAGAGAAGAATCAGACTTGGTTTTTCTGTGTAACTTCACTCTTATGCTAACAGTATTATATAGCGACTACTACTGCCAGGTGAATTCCTCGACAATTTGGTTGATCACTTTGTGATTGCATTTCTGCTGGATTTTACCAGTAGGATGATAAGTAGGGTAAACCACAGGACCGATATGTTCCAGTGGTTTTTATGATTCGGCTTTTATGTATCAAATTCAGGATAGTCGAAACAACTACCATGGTGCAATGAAATGGTACTTTAGCTATGAGTTACATAAATACAAATGATGTTAGTAATGATGAAACGCTGAATTCATATACCAGTGTTGGCTATCATAACACAAGGTAATACAATAGTAATTTGTGTTCCGTTTCAGCGGTCTGGTTGAAAGAAAGCCTAGTCACCTTACCACTTATCTGTATAGCACAGTGATAAGATATCGGTTGGCAGTATGAAAATGTAAGTTGCAACCCGGAAACATGTAAACATTCAGGCATATCTTGCACTAGTTGAACCAATATTTTATCATCGGAATGGAGGATTGTGGTATTTTTGCAATTGAGTTCACGAGTTGATTTCAGCTATACCACCAGTGAGAACCTGAAAGTAGTGGGCAGCTATTTCGTCCTATTATGAAACTCCTCAGCAGTGCGCATCCACGATTCCTCACGTGGAACGCGAACCAAGTACCTGCGGTCTCACACACGAATGCTCAACGTCTAGACCACTGACCGTGCATCCAGTGATGTCAATGTCCAACTACAATCGATCCATGATCTCGTGCAATTCTTTTTTGAGGTGGACAACTATCTCACACACCCACATGCGAATTGGACTCCATTGGTCACGGCTACTCACTAGAACACCAGGAGTTCCATCTTAAAGCTGGTCACTAGTGGATATAACCGTATGTGAGTGTGTGAGACAGTTAACTACTTCAGACAATGGATCAAGGGTTTCACGAGTACATGGATCGATTGTAGTTGGACATTGACATCACTGGATGCACGGTCAGGGGTTTAAAGGTAGAATACTTGTGTGTGAGACCACAGGTACTTGGTTCGCGTTCCACGTGAGGAATCGTGGATGCGCACTGCTGAGGAGTTTCATAATAAGACGAAATAGCTGTCCACTAATTTCAGGTTTTCACTGGTGGTATAGCTGAAATTGACTCGTGAATTCAACTGTAAAAATATTTTATTCACAAAACATCTTGAGGAAAAATATGGTAAATTAAACACAACTCACGGGCTTTATACTGGATTTTGATGAAGACGAAGAAGAAGAAGAAGTGCCTGAGGATCGAGACGATTTATCTGACCTGTTTCGGAACACACTGCCAACAGTATGCCTCTTGCGGCCCATAGTTATTTGATGCGTTGAATCATATACTCCCAAAAGCTTTATACAGTGGATATGTGGTAATAATCCTATAATCACAACCTTCTAAGAACAATTCAGTCAAGTATTCTAGCGTTTATCCAGAGGGTGAAAAATACCTCTGGTCCACTTCAGGACTATTGCCAACAGGAATCCGGCGTATGTAGACCAAGATATGGGTGATAGGAAAAGTAAGATATCCCATCTAACGTGAATAGTTGTACTACGAGTTGGTTTTTGAATACTTTTTGTCCTGTAGATCACAAACTGTTCTTTCGGGGAAACAGCTGTGTCCTGCAGGAAAAGTTAAAACCACGAGAGTAAATATCATAGGGTACACCAAAACAGAATGTTAAATAAAACAAAGCGCTAATCGGCAGTGTGTTTCAACTAACCTAAATTGGGAAGTTGTGGACGCCAGATGTTACCATCATTTTAACAATTAACCAAAACCAATGGTACAAAAGAAACCCATTTTATTCTACTTTGCAGTATTCTCCTAGTATTATCCTGGTGATGGAAATTAGAAGCCCCCATTTTTAGATGTATATCAACTTTAAAATTTAATAAGCCTGGACTAAACATCTGATGTTTTTAATAAATCTAGTTCACAACATGGGGCAGCATATCCTGGGTGGATCCGTAAAGTTATGAAGTTGCTGGCTGACCTGCAGTTATTATGGCTTATCATAGGAATTTAGAGTTATTTTTTCGATAACTGTAACTAATAAGCACAGAGAATGCAAAAAAGAACTATTTTCATCTTTAGAACAAAGAAGTGTTTGTGACTTTTTCCAGCGGCATTTAAGTGTCATAAATTCAGGATCAACCCTTCCAAATGATTGAAATCAAGCCAATGATAAATTCTCCAGCTAACAGTGTTTCATTACGGAGCCATTTTTACATAACAAAACGGTATGAAGTAATTATATAAACCCCTGAAAATCAATGATTCAACAGGGAAAGTCTTATTTTTGAGTGATAGTGATGATCATAATAATCATGTAACGGAGACTGACTTGCATAACTTTATGTGAATTAAGATTTGGTTTTAGTTAGCATCAATTTTCAATATGTTCATATGAGGCGAGTCACGGGAATTTTTGTCATTTATCAGGGGTAAAAGTAAGTGCTCATTAGTTAAAACTAGTCCAAATCACAGTGTTGTTTTATGTGAGGCCTTGAATCTTGAAACTGACGAATAAACAGACTTTTACATCATCGACCAGATCATAAAAAAGACTGTTGGGATATAATGCTAACAGAAAATTCAAATATCAAATTATAACGTTTAAGTAATAACCTGAAAAAAAAAGACTGGATCAGTAATACATCGTTAGTATATCGTCCAGCAGACTCACACAATAGAAGGACATGGAACGCTTCTTTTGAACTAGCTCAACGTATTTTTGAAACTGGAAATTATTCAAAAACTGTTAACTGCAAATTATTCTATATGAACGTTGTTCTCCAAGTCATGTTACAAAATGAAATAGGCACAAAGTGTGTAATAAATCACAAGAACTTCAAGCCATAAAAACCAGACATATAGCTTGTAATTTATGGAAAGAACATACTGAATAAAATATATAAACGTTTGAAAATCTATTGATTACACGATTTTGTAAAGAATTCAAGTACATATACCTAATAACCGAATTCCAATTGAGTAAACAAAAGCCTATGGACTACTTGATTTATAAATGAGAATAATCATATATAAGAACGCGCATACTGGAACAAAAATCTTACAATCAACAGGCTCCTGACGGCGCGGCAGATGTTAATTGGTTTGAAGTTGCTGCAAGGTGAGTATCACTTCCTGACATGTTAAAACACATGTAGGGTACTTCGTCCAAGTTAGTAAGTCAATGAACGGTTCATTCCTAGTTAAATCTTTAAAAAATCATGCGTTCCTCAACGCTGTTTCTATATTTATTTTAGATAGCTCATGATTTTTTAAATTCTACCTCAAGAACATAAGAATTTTGTTTGAAAGACCCTCATAAAATAAGTATCATCGTTCCCTTGTTTTCACAGTTCACCAGACGGCGATCATCTTTAAAAATTTAGTGAATAATATGTAAATACATGGTGGGTTCAACTGTTTACTGTACAGCTCTGTACGATCGGGATCGATTTCAAATCTACCACTTAGTTTGCTTTTTTACTTTTTGTGGCGATATTGCAATAACACTGGTTTTTAGCCATATGATTCTTGAAGATGGAGATGCGATATTTAGGTTTAGGATTGCCTACTGAACACTTTGAAAAGGCCAATAACACTTACCCAAGACGGCATGGCTCAGTTATGCATGCATGGACTCTCCATACACCCTTTCAGTCTTAGCGTTGAATCCATTATTCGATCAGCAACTCAGCTGTTTCCCTCGACGATAGAATGAGTATTTTTGTGATAATGGTAGGCTAAGGAGTGAGATAATGGCAAGTTCACAGTAGTGGACTGAATCTAATGATTTATTAACATACACAAGTGACGCAGAATTAAATCCCATATATTCATAGTTTTTCTTGCCACTACCAGTCTTACTGCCATGCTAACACTCATAAGCAATATTTACTTTACTTCATATATTTTCTGGAAAATGGTCTAATAATGTTTTGCTTGACACCAGACGATACTTTTTGAGAATAACTCACACTGAATCTGCAATATTTTGTGACGCCCGCTCTCCCACTCATGATTTGTACAGCGACGTAAATAGATTACTATCAATGATCTATAGGCCCGAATAACTAGTGTACGACGACAGTTTAGGCACAACGCCTTGTAGGTGTGCGATGTCATCCCTTTCGAGAATCAGGATATTCCGAGATGAAAAAGTCTACTACTTCAAATTGGCTTGTTAAGTTAGTTATGTGCTTGTTTTCTCGTGTAAATGGTCCACTCAATGATTCTCCCTTGTCCTGATTGTCGAAATATGAAAACATCTGGTAGGTGCAAGCCAAGCAATAGTACGAAACCGATAGACGTAATATTGTAAATAAATGCAGACTGAGCGTTTGTGGCAGAATTTTTATTTATCAACAATGTAGCGGTAAACAAATCCCCAAAATAAGTAGCTCTGTAAGTTTTCGACATTGGATGCTGACCACGGTTTTAGTGGACTTATCTAGCTGAAGGCGCTGGGTCAAGCATCCGCACCAGATTACGTGTGGGAACGCCGTGGTCAACATCTGCCGCAATCGCTAGGCAGATTAGTTCGGATGACCCTCGATATATTGATAGCTTATCAAATATATCTTCGATCTCCTCGCTTCTGTCTTTTGATTTCACTTGGCGAGTACGCTTCATATTAGGTGTTACTGGTTAAAGCTTTGTCAAACTACGAATACCTGTGACATCTTCATTGGTGAACCCGACGTGATCTGGTACACCAAATTGCAAACTGTAAGTCTGTTTCTTTTGGGGATTTTATATACCATTGTCCTATTTTCATTTTTTTTATACATTGTGATATTTTTCCCCGTGTTTTTGGATATATATTTCCCATTTGTTAGTTCTCGTACTTTACATATTACCATGACTGAACAGACACCTAAGATATTTAAGTTAAGGACTATGTCCCCACCTTCGTTCCAACTAATGCTTTTCTGGCCAGACAACATTGAAGCCTGGTTTTGCTACGCGGCGTGAACGACACATGGGCACAATTCCTCTCAGTAGTTAAGGCACTACCACGCGACTTCAACAGGTACGTAACACCTAGTATGTTTACTATTGATGTTTTGGATCCCTACGAAACATTGAAACGAACTATCCTTAAACACAGAGACATGACCGAACGACAAAATTTAGACCAACTCCTTAATAACATTGAGCAGCAACACGGCTCTGCCACATACATGTCACAAAGAATGAGAGAGATTATTGACCAAAGAACCTTCGATGATGGCCTGTTCAAACAGCTTTTCTTATCAAAACTTCCTCAACAGGTGCAAGCTGTGCTGGTCTCGTTCCAGAACACGCCGTAGACGAGCTGGTTGCATCTGCCGACCGCATCCTCGAAATCACTAAATCTTCTAAAGCCTAGGTTCTTTCAGTCAAAGAAAAGCTTCAAACCCTCCAGAATGACATAACAGAACTATGTCATACACTTACTCGTTATCTTAAACTCCGTAACGACCGTAAACGGTCACTTACCCCGCGAGGAAGCACATCACGTAGGTGGTCTGTATCTAGACCTCGAGAGACGGATAATCCTGACTGGTGCTGGTATCATAACCAGAATGGAATGTCCACCAGAAATTGCAGAAAACCCTGCAATTTTCCCAATTCGAAATTGGTCGACGCGAAGAATGTTTCGGGAAACTTTCAAGCCGACACGCGTTAATGGCAACCGTAGCCGGCGAACATAGCCGTCTGTTATATGTCACAGATGTGGTAACGAGAGTTTGCTACCTCGTTGATACTGTAGCAGAAGTTAGCGTTCTCCCAGCGAATTTTAACGACCGGCTTCACGAATCGGTTTTAATTCTACCGGCGGCAAACGGAAAGCCCATCGCTACGTATGGCAAAAGGTACGTTTATCTTAACGTGGATTTACGCAAACCCATTCACTGGATCTTTGTTGTTGTAGGTGTCTCTATGCCAATTATTAGTATAGACCTTCTACAGTACCATGGAGAAAAGATTATGTCCTTCAACATAGTTTATAACAGATATCCAAATGGTTTTTTCCATCAATTTTACAACCGCACTAGTTAAGCTAACGGGTCTACAGAAGCATACTAGAAACAGAATAACATAGGTCGTAGGCCTTCTGTCCGTACTACATAAATCTGAAGGCTTCCAGCGGCTTTTTATGTATTGACGGTACCTGTGTTCTAATTGTGAAGGGAAGGGTTGGGCATAGTTAGGCCGTTAGGCCATGGGTTTTCGCGTACATGTAACATATTGTCGTGGATTTTTTGTGTCGTTATTTACCAGCTATTAACAGCCTTTTTTCCATCACACGTCAATT